AATTTCTATTAAAAGAGGTTTTGCTAGAAGAACTATACAGAGAATAGCTGAAAACCTCAGAAATAATGTTTTAATTACTCGTAAACAAGGTTCTGGTCGTCTTCAACTATTAAATAATTCCATGAAGCAATTTATTAAAAATCTTCATAATATGAATCCATTTATTTCATCTAGGTAAATAATTCAAAAATCGAATAATGAATTTAATTTAAAGGTTTCAAGACCCAAAATATCAAGATTTTTAAGTAGTTTAGGACTCATTACTACAGTATTGCTCAAAAAAACGTGACCACTAAAATTTTTTAAAAATATATTGTTATACAGTAATATATTAAATTTTTTTCAAAAACAGTATATATTTAAATAATAAACACAGTTAATTTCAAAAAATAATAATAAATTTTATGCAAGGAGAAAATCTTTACAAAATTTTTTAAAAAAAATTGTCCAAAAAAACGTGACCAGAATTAAATTTAATATTTAGTGTTATAGCCTTTTGCTTTATACACCTCTAGACACCTCTTCTGAAAACTATTAACATACTTCTGTATCAAATTTACTGGTATATTATACCAAATCTCTTTTATTTTTTCTTTCAATTCATCTTTTTTTAATTTACCAAATTGAGCTAATTTACACTTTACAAGAGCCCAGACTGCCTCAATAGGGGTTAAATCTGGACTCTGTAGTGGCCAATCTAAAACTTGAATCTCTTTTTCATCTAACCAGTTGGAAACAAGTCTTGAGGTATGCTTAGGATCATTATCTTGAATTAAGATAAATTCCTCAAGACCCATTTCACAAGCAGATTGTCTCAAGTTATTAGCTAAAAGTTGCTTATACATTGCAGTTGTCATTGTTTCTTCAATAAAAACAATTCTTCCAACCCCGGCATATGAGATACATTTCCAAACCATTATTGATCCACCTCCATGTTTGATTGTAGGAATTGTATTTTCAGGTTTGTACCTCTGTCCAGTAAAATAACGGAAATACTTAATACCATCGCTATTAAAAAGATTAAACTTACACTCATCAGTGAAAATTATTGTTTTTAAGGTCTCATGTGAAATCCCTAAAAATTTTTCTGATAAATTAAGTCTTTTTTCTATATTAATAGGTCTTTAGAGTGGTTTTTTCGCTGGTTTGGCAGTAACTAAACCAAAATCAGATAGAATTCTTGACATTTTTGTCTTGAAATTTGTACATTAAACTTTTCGACAAATTTCTGTGTAATCTTTAGGCAAGATTCTTTATGATTTTTATCATAAATCAAGAATAACTGACGTTTTAATTCATCAGACAATATTTCAGGTCGACCTGAACCAAATTTCTTTCGAAGTGGTATTCTATTTTTTTACTTCTTATTAATATTGCATACTAATGTTTTACTAACCTTTCTTTTAAGAGCCACCTCTCTTTTACTTAAACCCGATATTAAGTCATCTTCAATTAAGACTTTAACTTCATATGTAATGTGATTAGTCATGGGTCAATAATTAAAAACTGTATAAAATTTTATTTTGGAGGG